CTTCATGTTGTTACCGTTAGGACCTAGCATAAATAGAACTTCCCTCAGCTGAGCAGGGGAGGCATTGTACTTTCGATACTGAGACAAAAGCAATACAACTATCGTATTCTCTTATAGCATTGTTATATTATTATTTACCGGTAACGTTATTACCATCAGCCCCCATATAATTGAAGTTAATATGAGTGAGCACTATACCGTTTTAAAAATTGAAGGGCAACATTTACACCACTAATAATTGATGGATGACATTAATAATTGACATATCATTGAAGAACATAATAAACAAACCACACACGTCTACAAGCTAGTCGCCAAATCGTCCTTCACCACTCAGTCCATCTTCTTCCACCACCGTCCCATTCTTGCTACCCGAACACCCTCGACAGTGTGGCGCGCGTTTGGTCAGATTATGAATTTTCTGTTATGAGATTATGAATGTAATGTAAATTCATAATCTCATAACAGAAAATTCATAATCGCATAAAAGTAAAACATTTATTAAATTATGAATTTTCTGTTATGAGATTATGAATTTACAGTTATGTAATTATGAATTTTCTGTAAATTCATAATCTTATAACAGAAAATTCATAATCTCATGCCTGCACATTCATAATTTATGAATGTTGAAGAAGCTTGCGCTACAGAGGAGCAGCCATGGTTTCGGACGGAAATGTGTAGTCATGGTTCCAAAGTGAATGTGCAGGCATGGATTCATAATTTATGAATGTCCAAAATCATTGCTCACCTCAAATTAAAGTGAAACCGCGAAATGTGAAAATGAAGAAGAAAAATCACGCGATTAATTAAGAAAAAAAAAAAAAAGATAACGGTGTACTAACACCGTTGGGACCGTGTTCACAATGGATGGTGAACACGGTTCCATGGCATAACGATCCGGCGTTAACAACACATTAACTAATTTTATTTTTTCGCATAAAAATGACGCCGTTTAGACTTGTGTTCACCATTCATGGTGAACACGTTTCCAGGGCATAATTTGCCGTGTCGGGCCACCGCGGATCCTCTCCTATGACTCGGCAAATTATTCTAAATGTTCACAATTTACATATTAAAATTTGTAAAAATTTAATATATAAATTGTGTATTTTGACTTCCTGAGTTCATGGCATAACTGTTGCCGTCACTTATGGCCAGCTCACATAAATTCATTGTATTAATTGGCCCAAATTTCAATTACCTCCCAATTCCACCTTGACCACTGACCCAGACCCTATCAAGTATTATCTCTTGTCGATTTTATGATGTACACTGCTCTTGAATTGTAGTGTGGTAAGTCCGTCACAGCTAGCGTGACCAATTCTTATCCTAATTAATTAATTGAAAATAACGCTATTGATTTTTCAAACATATGGGGTCCTAGGCAATAACTTAGCTTGAAAATAACAGGACGAGGACTTTGACCAACCTGAAAGGAGTGATTAAGTGGAAGGAATGGAGAACCACACGATACAAAATGTAGAACGAATGTTTTTCTATTAATAAAAATATTTCGTGTACCTCAAAAACTTACTTTCAATTTTTACTTTTACTCGTGTTTAAATTTGAGACTAAATTTGAAATTGTCACCAATATAATTCTTCAATTGTTTGACATGTCAGTAAGTTAATTTAATACGGAGTTACTCTTAATCAACCTCTAAAAATAATCTTTGGTTTATGAGAAAGTATGTAACCACTACACAAATGTGCACTATGAAATTAACTTAGGTTATCCATAACTAGTTAGTTCAAACTAGGAAGGTCGCGTCAATAGATAGCTACCACGTAGAGTCAAATTTGAAACTTTTGTAGTCAAATGCTACCATGTGAAGTCGATTTTGAAACCTTTGGAGTTAAATTTATAATCTCATGATACCAAATTAACTGTATGACCATCTAAAAATAAATTTGTATACCAGTATCACTAATCCACATTATAATTTGGGCTTTGGTACATATATGTCAATGACTCTATATTATGGGTTCACATTACAATTAGATCATGGTTCACATTATAATGAATATAATGAGGTCGATCAGAAGGCTTGTGCCTAAAAAAAAAAAAAAAGAAATCCAAATATTCCACGGGCCCGAAGCTAGAAGCCCAAAACATTTGATAAAGCCAAAATATAGACTGGACTACTGGAGTGAGTAGGTACTCAGGTGAAACAGTGAAGAAAATGAGGGAAGAAGAATAATCTACATTTAAAACTGACTGTTTCATTTGGTAGCTTCTTTGTGTTATTGATTTTTCAAATTAATTTTTATAGGTGCTTGAATTTAGTTTCTTTTCTTTTTTTTTTTTTTTTTAATAAATGCTTTACAGTAAGCGACTAGTTTAGATGGAACATTTTCTCCAGCTTGGATAGGTTATGGTAATGTTTATGCATGGGAGACCAAGCAATCTCAGCTTACGTGGGATTAAGTGAGAGGGAATCTTTCTACTGTAATTCTACATAGCTAAAACTTAAAATAATTTAGAATATAACTATGACGGAAAGTTGAATAATTCTACTGCATTCCAATTCCCACCTAATTTGAAGAAGCTAGCTCTGGGTAGAAACAGATTGACAGGTGGAATTCCTCCCACTTTTGGGAATTTGTCATCACTTCAAATGTTGGGATTGAAGATGAATCATTTGGAGGGAAGTATTCCGCATGAGATTACGCGGTGTTGGGGTTTAAATCACCTTTCACTTGGCGTCAACAATTTCACTGGTACACTATCTCTTTTCTTCAATATGACTTCTATACAAATTTTTTCAGTAATCCAAAACTCACTCGAAGGGACCATTCCAAGCAACATAGGAGACACCATGCCAAACTTGGAAAAATTATATTTTGGTGGCAACAAATTCCATGGAACTATCCCTATTTCATTTCCCAATGCCTCTAAGCTACAAATTCTTTCAGTTCCACATAACTATCTTGTAGGTAAAGTTCCAGATAATATTGGAAGGTTAAAAGATCTTCTACATTTGAACCTTGAGCGCAATCTTCTTGGTAACAGTGATCCCCTCAATGACTTGAATTTTATAACATCTCTGTCCAATTGTAGTAATTTAAATATCTTTTCCATTTATAAAAATAGATTTGAAGGTAAATTGCCAAACACCATAGCTAACCTCTCATCCAACCTCCATGAGCTATTTCTAGGAGGGAATAAGATATTTGGTACAATACCGAGAGGAATAAAAAATCTAGTTAGCTTGATCGGTTTCGGTATAGAACGCAACCTATTATCGGGTGTTATTCCTAGTGAGATAGGTGAATTGCATAAACTACAAGCTTTGAGTTTGAGCGAAACCAATTATCTGGAAAAATGTCACTCACTCTTTTTAACCTTACTTCTCTAGCTACAATTGTTTTGAATAACAACAATTTTGATGGCAATATACCCTCAAATGTGGAAAACTTCAGGAATTTGAATGAATTGTACATGAACAATAACAAACTAGACGGCACCATTCCTCAACAAGTTTTTAATTTGCCATCTTTGTCTAAGTACCTTTACTTGTCCCATAATTCATTCACTGGTCCGTTATCTCCTACTGTGGGCAAATTGAAAACACTAAATGCCTTAGACATCTCTCGAAACAAATTGTCGGGCAAAATTCCAGATTCAATTGGAGATTGTTTGAGCTAGCCTTGAATATCTTGATATGCATGATAATCTCTTTGAAGGTAAAGTCCCACCTTCTTTGGTTTCCTTAAAAAGCATTACGTATTTGGATATCTCAAACAACAAGTTGACTGGACAGATACCGAGAGACCTCCAAAAGCTCCCTCTCTTGCAATATTTGAACCTTTCTTTCGATGATCTAGAGGGGGAGGTACCAACAATTGGAGTGTTTGCAATGGCAACCAATGTATCATTGCTTGGAAACAAAAAGCTATGCGGTGGTATACCTGAGCTAAAGCTACCACCATGTCCTGTGAAGAAAACAAAACACAGAAAGCATTTAAAGCTTATGATTGTTATCTTTACATGTATCTGCTCAGCTTTGGTGTTTGCATCATTCGTTGCTTTTCTAACATTTTGTTGGACGAAAGGAAAAAGAATGGAGTCAACTAAGCCATCCAAAGTTGAAAAGCTTTCCAAAATCCCTTATAGAGACCTGCATCAAGCTACTGATGGTTTCTCTGCTACAAATTTGATTGGTTCGGGAAGTTTTGGCTCTGTTTACAAAGGAATATTTGAGCAAGATGGAGGAGAACAAACAATTGCGATGAAGGTACTTGACCTTTTAAAAATGGAGCTTAGAGCTTTCTTGCAGAATGTAAAGTGTTGAGGAACATACGCCACCGAAATCTTGTCCCAATTTTGACTTGCTGCTCGAGTTGTGATTTTGCAGGTAATTAATTCAAAGCTTTGGTTTATGAGTTCATGGAAAATGGGGATTTGGATATGTGGTTGCATACACATTCATCTAATGCAAGGACAACCGTTCTAAGTGTTCTTCAAAGGTTAAATATTGCAATTGATGTAGCTTCTGCATTGCATTATCTCCATGATGATTGTGAGCCGACGGTTATTCATTGTGATCTAAAGCCAAGTAACATTCTGCTTGACATAGACTTAACTGCTCATGTTGGAGATTTTGGTATTTCAAGACTTTATTCACGCACAATTGGAGATCCAATTGGTGAACAAACTAGTACCATTGGATTAAAGGGATCAATTGGTTATGTTCCACCAGGTAAGAATATTATATCGTCATCATAAAACTTTACCACTTGTTTACATAACTAGCTAGCTTAAGTGAAAACTTCATATTCATATATCATATCTTATGTTTGAAGAAGTTCTTTCTCAAAAATTAAAATGCTCTATTAATTTTATTTTTTCATTTTCTTTCTTTGTTTTCACAAATAATTTGAATTTAGAGTACGGGATAGGAGCAAATGCATCAACTTTTGGAGATGTGTATAGCTTTGGAATCCTTTTGTTGGAAATGTTCACAGCCAAGGGACCCACATATGATTTTTTCAATGGTGAATGTAGCAGTCTTTGTGAGTATGTGGAGTTGGCGTTGCCCGAGGAAGTGATAGAGATAATAGACCCATTGCTTTCAGCATGCCTAGAAAGCAATCATGGACTAATACCGGATGTAGAGTTGGGGAATAATGGCAATTTGGTGGAAATTGAAGAAAGCAAGGTCCATAACTTCTTCCGCTCCATCTTCAAAATTGGACTCACTTGTGCTTCAAGATCACCAATGGATCGCATGCATATGAATGAAGTGAGCAGAGAATTACAAAAGATTAAGAAGACCTTCTTTGCATAAAATTATGCAAACATGTTTTGTGACATACAATATCTCCATTGGTAGAAAAATAGAAATTAAGAAAAGCTTGTTTTCCAATTTGTCTAATATATGTTGCTCTAAATTTCTTTAATTTTGATTTAAACGTTTCTTGGATTCTTCTTTAGTTGTATGATGGGGAACAAGCTAAGCTCCAAGTATTATCTATGTTCTTATATTAAATGCATGTTGTGGTTTGGTTGAAATTTTATATATTAATTAGAGTATAACTATTTCTATTAAATTGACGTAACACGATCCTAATATCGTTAATGTCTAGCGTTTGACTGGAAGTCTATATATATATACCAGCAAATTTATGTATTTATGTAGCGTGCATGATACACGCAGTATAAAGGCTTTCACATGCTCTGCGCAAGATTTTCTTACCTTCCGTCCATCACGACTAGCCCCACCTCAAATAATTGCATTCATACCCATATTCCAACTCACTGGAAATGAATGTTTAAATTAGCATAAAATGAATATAGTTCTCTAACCACCATATTCCACTCTTCCACTATGAGATTTATCTTTTTCTCTTCATAAGAAATTAAATACTAAAATAAAAATATATAAAAGCAATTGATTAAACACCCACCCTTATATATATAGCAAAACAACAACTTTCACCACTACCGAAATCACTTACAATGTCAGACATATAACATTGATTTTTTACAACTTTCACTACTACAAACATTATAACTCATTTTTAAATAAAAAATTTTTAAAAATACACGACGTTACGTCGTATTTTATATTTACTTTTTTTTTTTTTTTAAAAAATTAAAATTAACATTACGAATTGGCGTCGTAATTTATTACTATTTTTTAAAATAAGAAATTAATAGCTTTACGGCGTCTGCTTTGGTATAACCGACGTTGTATAGTATTCGTATTTTTATTTATTTTTTTTTAAATTCAGGATACAACATCGGTTCATTGACGAACTGACACCGTAATCTATATTTTAAAAAATAAAAAAAAAAAAGAAATTAAGTACTATACAATGTCAGTTTTGATATAACAGACGTCGTAGATTTATACATATTTTCTTTAATTTTTTATTTAGGCTACGACGTCGATTTGTCATCAAACCGACATTGTAGCCTATTGTTTTTTCTTTTTGAAATAAATTAATACTCTACGGCGTCGGTTCTTCAACGAACCTATCTCATATAACTATATTAAAAAGAAAAAGAAAAAAAAAAAAAAAGACCCTTCGTTCAGATCTAAAGCACTCTCCCTTCATCTCTTCACTATATTGTGTTAAATTTTGAATTTTAATGAGTTAAAAATCACTTTTAAAATATATTTTGAATTATTTGTCTATAAGTGATGCAAACTAAAGTCTTAGTCTTCTTGCTGTCGTCCTATATTCCGTCCATCTTGTTACACACTCTAACCACCATATTCCACTATGAGATTTGCCTCCTCCGATCCGGTTTTAAACTTACCTACCAATTAACAGTACCTAGGCATATCAGATTTAGCATGTCTATATAAACAATATAATATACACTCTACCCTGTCACAAAAACACACATCGATCACTCTCTTCTTTCTCTAATTAAATAATCCATCTTTTTGAATTATGGAGGTGATGATGAAGAATATGAGGCATGACAAAACCCTCTCATCATCAGCTGCTCTTTGTACTCTCCATCTTCTTCTCTTTTGCTTAATATATAGTGTTACCATTATCCCCACTTCCTCCTTTGCATCATCATCTTCATCAGTTGCTTTCTACACATCAAATGAAACCGATAGACTTGCTCTTTTAGACTTTAAACACCGGATTATTTCTGATGATGATCCGAATCGAGGAGTAGTTCTTAACTCCTGGAATGACTCTGTGCACCATTGTAGTTGGCCAGGAGTGAGGTGTGGTCGTCGACACCCACGAGTTGTGGCGTTGAGGCTTCCTAAGATGGGGTTGGTGGGAACCATATCTCCTCATATTGGAAATCTCACTTTCCTCAGGGTTCTTCATCTCAATGACAATAATTTTTACGGTGAAATTCCAGGAGAGATTGGTGGTTTGTTTCGACTAAGATATCTCTCATTGTCTGTGAATGCACTGACGGGAGATCTGGCTAAGCTTAATCTCAGCAGCTGCGTGCACCTTAGGGAACTCTATTTTGCTCAAAATGGCCTCCATGGAAACCTCCCTACTGCATTCCAATTCCTACCTAATTTGAAGAAGCTACAAACACTATCTCTGGGTACCAACAGATTGACAGGCGGAATTCCTCCCACTATTGGGAATTTGTCATCACTTCGAAATATGGGCTTGGAGGAGAATCATCTGAAGGGACGTGTTCCGCATGAGATTATGCGGTGTTGGGATTTAAATATCCTTTCACTTGGCCTCAACAATTTCACTGGTACACTATCTCCTTCTTTCTTCAATATGACTTCTATACAAATTTTTTCAGTAGAAGAAAACTCACTTCAAGGGACAATTCCAAGCTACATAGGAGACACCATGCCAAACTTGGAAGGCTTTTATTTTTCTGCCAACAAATTCCATGGAACCTTCCCAATTTCATTTCCAAACGCCTCTAAGCTTCAAATTCTTGACATATCACAAAACTATCTTGTAGGTAAAATTCCAGATAATATTGGAAGGTTAAAAGATCTTGTAGGGTTGGACCTTGAGACCAATCTTCTTGGTAGCAATGATCCCCTCAATGACTTGGCTTTTATAACATCTCTGTCCAATTGTAGTAATTTAAATGCATTTGCCTTTGATGAAAATAGATTTGAAGGTAAATTGCCAAACACCATAACTAATCTCTCATCCAAACTCCAGCACCTATATCTAGGAGAGAATAAGATATTTGGTACAATACCAGGAGGAATAAAAAATCTAGTTAGCTTGATCGCTTTCGGAGCAGGAGCCAATCTATTATCCGGTGTTATTCCTAGTGAGATAGGTGAATTACATAAACTACAAGGTTTGAATCTTATGGAAAACCAATTATCTAGAAAAATGCCACTCACACTTTTTAACCTTACTTCTCTAGCTAACATTGATTTGAGAAACAACAATTTTGATGGCAATATACCCTCAAATGTGGAAAACTTCAGGAATTTGAATGAATGGTACATGAACAATAACAAACTAGATGGCACCATTCCTCAACAAGTTTTTAATTTGCCATCTTTGTCTAAGTACCTTGACCTGTCCCGTAATTCATTCACTGGTCCGTTATCTCCCGCTGTGGGAAAATTGAAAACACTAAATGCCTTAGACATCTCTGGGAACAAATTGTCAGGCGAAATTCCAAATACAATTGGAGATTGTTTGAGCCTTGAATATCTTGATATGCATGATAATCTCTTTGAAGGTAAAGTCCCACCTTCTTTGGTTTCCTTAAAAAGCATTATGTATTTGGATATCTCAAACAACAAGTTGAGTGGAGAGATACCAAGAAACCTCCAAAAACTCCCTCTCTTGCAATATTTGAACCTTTCTTTCAATGATCTAGAGGGGGAGGTACCAACAATTGGAGTGTTTGCAGTGGCAACAAATGTATCATTGCTTGGAAACAAAAAGCTATGCGGTGGTATACGTGAGCTAAAGCTGCCTCCATGTCCTGTGAAGAAAACAAAACACAGAAAGCATTTAAAGCTTATGATTGTTATCTTCACATGTATCTGCTCGGCTCTAGTGTTTGCATCATTAATTGCTTTTCTAACATTGTGTTGGAGGAAACGAAAAAGGATGGAGTTAGCTAAGCCATCGAAAGTAGAAAAGCTTTCCAAAATCCCTTATAGAGACCTGCATCAAGCTACTGATGGTTTCTCTGACACAAATTTAATCGGTTCGGGAAGTTTTGGCTCTGTTTACAAAGGAAGATTTGATGAGCAAGGTGGAGGAGAACAAACAATTGCGGTGAAGGTACTTGACCATTTAAAAAATGGAGCTACAAAGAGCTTTCTTGCAGAATGTAAAGTGTTAAGGAACATACGCCACCGAAATCTTGTTCCAATTTTGACTTGCTGCTCGAGTTGTGATTTTGCAGGTAATGAATTCAAAGCTTTGGTTTATGAGTTCATGGAAAATGGGGATTTGGATATGTGGTTGCATACACATTCATCTAATGCAAGGACAACTGTTCTAAGTGTTCTTCAAAGGTTAAACATTGCAATTGATGTAGCTTCTGCATTGCATTATCTCCATTATGATTGTGAGCCGACGGTTATTCACTGTGATCTAAAGCCAAGTAACATTCTGCTTGACAAAGACTTAACTGCTCATATTGGAGACTTTGGTATATCAAGACTTTATTCACGTACAATTGGAGATCCAATTGGTGAACAAACTAGTACCATTGGATTAAAGGGGTCAATTGGTTATGTTCCGCCAGGTAAGATTAATATTGTCATAAAACTTTACCACTCCGTTTCCATAACTAGCTAGTTTAAGGAAAAAAAAATGTCATATTCATATATCATATCTTATGTTGAAGAAGTTCTTTCCCACAAATTAAAATGCTCTATTAATTTTTTTTTTTATCATTTGCTTTGTTTGTTTTCACAAATAATTTGGTTTTAGAGTACGGGATTGGAGCAAAGGCATCAACTTTTGGAGATGTGTATAGCTTTGGAATCATTTTGTTGGAAATGTTCACAGCTAAGAGACCCACAGATGATTTATTCAATGGTGAATGTAGCAGTCTTTGTGAGTATGTGGAGATGGCGTTGTCAGAGCAAGTTATGAAGATTGTTGATCCATTGCTTCTAGCATGCCTAGAAAGCAATTGTGGAGAAAGACCGCACAAAGATGTGGAGATTCATGGCAATAAATTGGTGGAAATTGAAGAGAGCAAAACCCACAACTTCTTCCTCTCCGTCTTCAAAATTGGGCTCATCTGTGCTTCAACATCACCAATGGATCGCATGCATATGAATGATGTGACCAAGGAATTACACAAGATTAAGAAGGCCTTCTTTGCATAAAAATAAGCATACATCTCTTGTGACCTAGCAATGTTTCCACTGGTGAACTAGCAATTATGATAAGTTTGTTATTTATTTGGACTAATAATTGCTGTTGTGTTTCTTTTGCCATAAACTTTTTTTTTTGGACTCTTCTTTTGTTATATGAAGCAACCAATATTTTCTATAAGATCTGTTTGAAAATCTGAAAAACGTTTTTCGAAAAATATTTTGATTTTACATGGTTAAAATAATTTACCACT